GAATGATAACTCTGCTAGATAGAGTATTCTAGTTCATAGGTTTTTCTCTTTCAGCACTTTAAATATATCATGGCACTCCCTTCTTGCCTGAAAACCTCCTGCAGAAAAATCAGCTAATAGTTTTATGAAGGTTCCCTTGTATATGATGCCTTAAAAAAAAAAAACTTTTGCCATTTTAATTTGGACATATATTGTGTGGGTCTGTTTGGGTTCATTTTGTTTGGGACTTTCTATGTTTCTTATAATTGGATTTCTGTTTTCTTCTTCAGGCATTTTTCAGTCATAATTTCATAAAATGCATTTTCTGCCCCTTTTGCTCTCTTTTCTCCTTCTGGTACCCTTATAATATGAATGCTAGTATGCGTGATGTACTAGAGATCCTTTAAATTATCCTCATTCTTTTAATTGCTTTTCTTTTTTGCTATTCTGATTGGATGATTTTCACTTTTATATTTTTTGGATAATTTATATTTCTTCTGTATCCCTTAATCTGCTGTTAATACCTTCTAATATATTGTTCTTTTCAGTTGTATTTTTCTGCATTCATTGGTTCTTTTTTGTATCTTCTAGTTCTTTGTTAAAGTTCTGTTTCTGTTCATCTATTCTTTTCCTGAGTTCATTTAACATTTTTATTACTACTACTTTGAATTATTTTTCAGGTAAATTATTTTTCTCTGTTACATTAGGATTTTTTCCTGAGACTTTATCTTGTTCTTTCCTTTGAAATCTATTTCTCTGTTTTCTCATTTTGTTTAACTTTCTCTGTCTCTATGAAATTAGGGGAGATAGTTACCTATTGTGATATGAAGCCATGTCCTTGTGTGAAGGCATCACTGTGCAGCCTGCATATGCCTAGTGACTTGTTGGGAGTGCTGGATTTGAAGTGTGCATGAGTTACATATTCTTTCTGGGTACACTGGGCTGGAGATAGGGCTGGAATCAGAGGTGCTAGAGACAGAACCAAGTATGAATTGGGGATTCTGTTAAGCACAATAGTAGTTGCTGCCTTATTGGAATTGTGGCTGGGGCCTGAGGGCTTGGGGTTGCACTTTTGAGCTGGTTTCGTTTTTTCCCTGGTGTGTGTGTCATTGTGAGAGGCAGAGTTGGGGCCAGAGGAGTTGGAGCCACTCTACTGAGCAACCTCTGCTGCTTCCCTGGTGTATGTACACACTGGCAAAGGCAATCTACACCCCGGCTAAGGGCAAGACTGTGGCCCAAGCTGTCTTTGTCCCTTCCCCAATGAGAATATGTGCATTGGCAGTAGTGGCCTCCATCTTAGTAGGGAGCAGTTCTAAAGCAAGAGGAGCTGGAGTGGTAGCCTGGTACAGGCTGTGGGGCATGCTGAGGCAGTCTTGGCAGGTTGGCCAGAGAACCATTCATTTTTTCAATCTGCAGCATCCATTCTGTGACTGGGAGCCAAGTCTGTGTGTGAGCTCTTCAAGAGTGGAGGCTTGGTTTCTTACATTTCTCCGTTATGCTCCACTGATTTTCAAATCATATAAGGGAACTTGATTTCTGAATGTTGGACCTTATGGCTGGGGTGCCTAATATGTGGCTTAAACCCCTTGCTCCCTAAGGAGGATCCCTGAGCCTGCTGGGTCACCCACTAAGGATGTAGGTCCTGACTTGATCACTTCTCCTGCCTTCCTACCAAACTGTGTGTATGTGTGTAGATCTTTCTTTACAACCTTGGTTGTAGGGGAGCCATTCTTCTAATCTTTAGGTCATACTCAGTGAGAGTTTCTCTTTATGTAGTTGTAGTTTTGATGTGTTTGTGGGGGGAGGTGAGCTCAGGGTTTTTCTAGTCTGCCATCTTAATCCCACCTGTGACACTGCTTCTCTTTCTATTCGATGTGAATAGCTACTTTTACTTCCAACTCACAATACTAGTTCTGAAAGAACACAGAGGGGACTTCTTTGCTTTGCATTGACACTCATACTTCAAGATTTAATGCCAACATATCTTGGTCTCTCCCTACCCGCCAAACCCACCATCATTTTATGAAAGAATCATCAGTGATGAATTATTGGTGTCCTTCCTCAACAGCACACTCAGACATGAGTATACAAGGAAGTGATCCTACTTGGGGGCTGAATCTAAGTTATCTAAGGTGACTATCTCCATAGATAGTCCTCTAGTGAGTTCCTCCCTGCTGTATTATTATTACAGTTGGAAACACATTGTTACATTTGTTTGCCCCTTTCTTAAGGTATAGCGGACATACAAGAAATTGCATATATTTGAAGTATAAAGGTTGATTTTTTGATATATGTATACACTCATGAAACCATCACCAGCATTAAGATAATAAACATGTCTACTATCCTCCCCCATATGTTCCTCATATCCTGTTATAATATATCCCTTCCTCCTACCACCCAACTCCCTTGCTAGTTCCTTCTGCCCTTCTTGGCTTTGTTTGATAATGTTGAAATGTTCCAACTGAGAAAAACAGCTAGATTCTCTGGATCTGAAGTAAGAGTAGAAAACATCCCTTGGTTCTTGCTTCCTTTCTCCTTCGAAAAGAAGTCAGACCCTGCCAAAGACTTATCTTTGTAGCTGTACATGAACAACACTAAGACTAGATCAAAGGCCTTCCTTAAGTAAGGAACTAGGAGGTTGAAACACTTCTATAAATTGTAAGTAGGACACTAAAGTTGCAAATTACTTGAAGATCAACTAAAGATCTAAGGTGAAAGCATGTTTCTTAAGGAAACTTCTATTGCAAAACAGCATACATTTGAAAAGCAATGATAAGAAAATCTGCATAATCCTGCTACCCTAACTGAACACTGTCAATCATTTGGCATGTTTTCATTTCTGAATCTCACCTCCAAACACCAGAAAAAATTCTTTATTGAAATCTACTTTTAACACAACTTTTGCATTTTTATGTTTAACTTTTTGTCTACATACCTCTGGCACATACCACCATTGTTGTTATTCAGTCGCCAAATTGTGTCTGACTCTTTGTGACCCCATGGACTGCAACATGCCAGGCTTTCCCATCCCTCACCATCTCTTGGAGTTTGCCCAAGTTCACGTCCATTGAATCAGTGATGCTATCTAACCATCTCATCCTCTGTCGCCCCCTTCTCCACACCACCATGTTGCTGCTAAGTCACTTCAGTCATGTCCGACTCTGTGCGACCCCATAGACGGCAGCCCACCAGGTTCCCCCGTCCTGGGGATTCTCCAGGCAAGAACACTGGAGTGGGTTGCCATTTCTTTCTCCAATGCATGAAAGTGAAAAGTGAAAGTGAAGTCGCTCAGTCATGTCCGACCCTTAGCGACCCCATGGACTGCAGCCTACCAGGCTCCTCTGTCCTTGGGATTTTCCAGGCCAGAGTACTGGAGTGGGGTGCCATTGCCTTCTCCGCCACACCACCATAATATAACCATAAGAGAAGGGAGTATATTCTCAGGTTTCAGAGAAAGAATCAACATGTCTTCTTAGAGGAAGTGGCTGCAATGTACTACTAAGGAAAAAAGCTTTATATTGTGGCTTTGCTAACAGGTTCTATAAAATTAGAATCTATAAAAATAGAGAAATGTTTCTTCCTTGTGGAACAAAAAGTTCACAGCAGGAAAGAACAATCCTCAGGGAAATCCAACTGCTATTGTCAAAGGTATACCTTTGTTGGGGGATATTATGGGTGAGGAAGCTAACTTCTGAGTGTAAATAGACAAGTACACTCAGAAGATAGCTTCTTCACCTTTGTGATTCCCACATTCCCTTTATTAGATTGGAAGGACTTATTTTAATGCTGATTTTCTGTGATCTGCAATTTAGATGACCTTTTGTCTGGCCCATATTTATTGGAGGCAATGAAGTGGCACCCTCTTTCTGAGATTTTCATAAGGATGGGGAGGATAAACTTCTCACTTGCAACCCAAAGATGGTTTTTGAAAAGGAAAGTTGTGCTCTGATTTTCTACTTTAATCACATTTTCTTTTAAATCATCTCAATTTAAAATGATTCAGAGTTCTGTTTCTGATCACTTGGATATGCAAGCAGTAAACTGGACCAACAAACTCCAGACAACTCTGCTCACTATAGTCTAAGTTGTGTGTTTGTAACCTGTAAACTGCAGCTTCTTGGACCACATTGCCTTGACATGATAGGTAGGTAAAATGGAACAGACTGGAGATGGTGGCAATGAGAGAAACTAGAGAACATATACTATCGTTGTACTCATGTTCAATTTCACTGCTGTTCCACATTCTAACAGTAAATGGAATAGAGAGACAGAACAGGGGAAGAATTTACTTTGAGTGTTGGAGAGCTGCCTTTTCTAATGATTCAACCAAGCTGACTGTGTTGTTCTAGTCTGAGTTCATTGTTTTGGCAAGATTTGAAATTGACACTGCAGGTTGGAAGTTCTGAGATAACTGATGCTAGACAAGTATGAGCAAGGGACAAAACCTTTTTAATATTTATTATTTTTAATAACAAGTGACAGTAGATTCAGAACCACCTCCTGATGTTTTAATAAACCTTTGTCTTGTTATGAAAATTCTGTTATATTTTGAATCAAACACTTGAAAATGTAGTTAGAGATAGATACCTTTCTGCTTACCTTCTCCCCACCCCAAAAAGAGTGTCAACGGACACACTCAGCATCAAATGATGAACACAAGTATACATACACAAATGTGCATCCTGGCAGAACTTTTTTATGGTATATTACAAGCAAATTTCTGAAATTGTGAATAATAGAGGGCTTGTGACTATAGCTTTCAATTATACAGCGTACCACCTAGTTCCCTGAGTGACTGACATAGCATCGCACACAGGAATTTTCTAGGTATAGTTCCTAACAGTAAGTGATCCTTGAATTATCTTCAATCCATGGTACATCCACTCATTCTGAATACTGTCTTACAAGGAATTATTACCTAATGTTGCGACTCCCCTGCTGATATCTTAAGAGACCAAAAAGACAATGCTAAAGGAAGGGCATTTTCCATTTCTCTTTGTCTTTCTTTCATTCAGATTTCATTCAGAGACTATGACCTGCTGAATCTCGATAGGCTGAAATCCACGGACAGCAGATGGGGTGGTGAAAAAAGTATTAGGTAGTTCCCCAGGGCTGATGGAGCCAGAGTCACTTTGCACTGAGCCTCCAGTGTTCTCAAACTGGGATATTTTCTTTTTGATCATCTTTCTCTCCTTGGCTCTGCGATTTTGAAACCAGATTTTCACCTGAAACAAAAAATGCTTTGGATTTAATGGGGCAACATACTGAATGCATTTTTCAAAGTCATTGCTGATATTGTTCAGGGACTTTAGTATTAATATTTACAAAGCCTTTTCACATGCATCACTTGAGCCTCACAATGACCTTGTGAAGCAAGCCCATTTGACAACAGGTTTTTTTTTTTTTAAAAAGCTGAGACTCAGAGAGGGAAAATATATTGCATGAGATGAAATTGAAATCAAGCCCAGGGCCTCAGACTCTGAATGCAGTAGTCTTTACATTATACCTCACTCACCATCTTTGTTTCACAGGTAAAAATAAATAATGATAGAATGGCAGATTCTGAGACATGGTGATGAAAAGGGAGGGATTTAAATAGCAAAGGTGATTATGATCTGTCATTAAAACACTAAAGTTAGGGACTTCCCTGGCAACCCAGAGGTTAAGACTCTGCACTTCCAATGCACAGGGCACAGGTTTGACCCCTGGTCTGAGAACTAGGATCCTATATGCCATGTAAAAATTTTTTTTAAAAGTAAGGTTAATGAAACAGAACTGGGTGAACAAGGGTGATGAAGTACTATATCTCTTGCTGTGATATCATTGTGCCTTTATAAATGGTTGAAATGCAGACTACTTGGGATAAGACACTAAAGGACTTTACAATTCTAGAATTCTATGATATACAGGATTACTTCTAGACCTTAGTGGGAAAAAAAAAAGAACATCAAAGTAGTTATGTCACGTCAAATCTGGGTGAGTGGAAACCACTGATTCTTGCCAAGATTTAATTTTCACTGAGTGTCCACAGTAAGCTAAATTTGAGGCAGGAATCATAGGATTAATAGACTACAGGAAATTAAATCTCCTAGCCTGAATAATAGAAAAACTTGCTTCAGGTATAAGCGTTGGTGTTCATTTACTGTTATAATTTGACTGATATAAGCCAGATAATTGCCATGATTGACAGATTTCCACTTCACACATAGATTGTAACTATTTGGGAAATCGTATCAAGGTTTTGACTTGGCTGACCAATTGTATGAGGATTTTAATCCTTCTCCATCCTCTATGTCCCCACCCTTGTTTCCACACCTACATAGTGCCCACCACACTAAGAGGTTCAATAGGGAAAAATATGGGCTTTAGGAAAGCTTTGAGAATGGCTTAGTCTTCTTTTGCTTCCCTCCTGCTTATGGATGTCCTTAAAATCTTAGCCTATTGAAATGCTTATATGAAAAATGTTAAATGTACTTCTGGTGTACCTGTCTCTCAGAAAGGCCCAAGTTGACTGCAAGCTCTGATTTTCTCCGAATGGTGATATATCTATTGCAGTGGAATTCTTTCTCCAGCTCCAACCTTTGATGATCTGTGTAAACTACACGGTACTTTTCTTTTGTCCTGGTTTTCCCTGTTAGGGGAGAAAGGAGTGTATTTAATCATATTTTTTTCCTTTGGAGATTATTTTGGTTGGAGGAATCAGAGCCACTGTTCCTACCCTTAGCTATTACTTTCAAATATAAAATAAGTACATTTTTTGAACCAAATATGTCATAAGTCCATTTTTTCATTAAGTACTTTGCCATCCGTGGCTATTTCACACACACACACACACACACACACATGCATTCAACACACCTATCACAGCACCATTGACATATTGTTACACCAAAGCATTTTAAAGCAAACACTTTAGCCATGATTTTCATTCCCTTCCCACTCACATATGAGAACAGTACTGGCAATAGTAGCACCATCCATTATACATGCACTCCCATTTATATTGTATACAGTTCTTTCATGTTGTCTCCTATTGAACCTCTCTCTCACCTACCCTTTCAACTTATGCAGAATGTGTCTTATTCCCATTGTACAGAGAAGGAAACCGAGGCTCAGTGTAGGTAAGTGGCTTTGTGCTAGTGGGCTTAGGAATGGGGACCCAAACATATACCTCTGACTCCAAGTCCAGTGTGCCAAATGTTATTCCTAGTTTAAATATGCTGGGCAGCATAAGAATGGCCCAAGTGTAGCAAACTGTTTTGTGATACTGACATTCTTATTACGTGCACATTCTAGACAGAATTTCATTTGAATAATAATTAAAAAAGAAAACATGTATTGTCACTTAGATTCTGTTCTACAATAGCTCTATGGTCTTCCCTGGTGGCTCAGACAGTAAAGCGTCTGCCTGCAATGCAAGAGACCTGGGTTCGGGAAGACCCCTGGGTCGGGAAGATCCCCTGGAGAAGGACATGGCAACCCACTCCAGTACTCTTGCCTGGAGAATCCCATGGATGGAGGAGCCTGGCGGACTACAGTCCACAGGGTCTCAAAGGGTCGGACACGACTGAGCTACTTCACTTTCACTTTCTTTTCACCTATTAGAAAAAATAGTTTAGCTTTTTTGTTGCTGATGCTGTTTAGTCACTCAGTTGTATCTAACTCTTGCAACCCCATGGAGTGTAGCCCTCCAGGCTCCCTTAGTCCATGGGACTTCCCCGGCAAGAATACTGGAGTGGGTTGCCTTTTCCTTCTCCAGGGATTTTTGAGGGAGTTTAAAAAAAATTTTTATTCCCGAATGGAAAATGAGTGGGGGAAGTAGGGGGTGTTGTTGACTTTACCAGAATAAAATGGGTATTCTAGTATTCTTTGAAAGGATATCCAAACATTTGCTTTGTGTTACAACGTTTAACTAATTTCTCATGCCCTCCTTCAAATAGAGTTTTATTCCTCCTTTTAAATTTTCCAAAGGTGATTAGGAAGTTTCTTTTTCTTTTCAATTTTTCTAACCCCCTCCAGGATCTTCCTCCTTTTCTCTATAGCTTTTGGCAACCCCCTTCTGATCTTCCCTGGTTGTTTTTGATGTGAAGTTTTGGGGAGCGATCTGTAAGACAAAGGTTTCTTTAAAGTGTTTCCCTAAACTCCATTGAGGTGTTAAGATGCAGCACAAGCTTAACAAAGGAGCTACATAGCATCAGATCCCATCTTGAACCCTCTTTACATTCAGGAACACCAGCCAATTGGTTTGGAATTTACAAGCCCTAAACAAATGTCAGACACCCTTTCATCTCCAGGAAAGAAAAAAAAAGGGGACGTGAATGTAGAAACGAATTCTAGATGAGAGATATGTTTTAGGATTAAGTCATGGACTAAAGAACTAAACAAAACTTTCCTTCTTGAAAATGGAAAATGATTAGCTCCAGTCAGTTAATCTATCTCAAAGGCTCAAATTATGAGCTGGTTTTCTCTTTGTTTGCTTGTTTTTCATGGGGTTTTTTGATACCAATTTTTTAACTTGAAGTATAGTTGATTCACAATATTGTGTTAGGTTCATTTGCAGCAACCTGGAAAGACCAAGACAATATTATGCTCAGTGAAATGTCAGACAGAGAAAGACAAATACTATATGGTATCACTTATATGTGGAATAAAAAATATAATACAAATGAATGTATATGCAAAACAGAAACAGACTCACAGATACAGAAAACAAACTTCAGCTGCTTTTCTGAATCTAGGAAACCAAAGTTCTGGCATTTGGTATGTTACAAAGGCAGAATGTATATTTGAGGTCACAGTGAAAACATTGAGGTTTAATTTATTTCTAGAGCCTAAAATCTTAGAATCAAAGTATATCTTTGAAGAGATGGTCCCTAAAACTGTTCCTAATCCCAAAGTGACTGAGTGTTTAAATTCTAACTTGAGGCAGAAGTTAAAATTTAATGTGTGTATGTCTGTTTTCAACTCTTTGATAATCAGTAAATATAACCAGACTTCAAGAATTCTCGAAGGTTGCAATTCTTCCCCACCCCCATTGGTCATAAATTCCCCTCTTGCAGTTTCTTCTGAGGACAATAAAGTCAATACCAGGCCTCTTTATTTGCCATGAAAATCCTCACCCTTTCCGGCAATATAACCCCTAAAGAAAGGAGGGATGAGGAAGAGCCAGGCTGCATATCAAAGCTATGCAAAGTGTTAAAAAAAAGTCTGTTGCCCCAATCTTATGGATAAGACCTCAGACCTCAAGAAGACTAGATTAGTTGGAAATACTGACTTGCACGTTTAACGAAGAGAAATGAATTCTCATTTCCTGGTGCTCCTCTTGTGTCCCTCCTCCCAAGCTATTTTCTTTCCACTTACTTCATTGTCTCGTCCCTTAAATGATGAAATCTGATTGACTGGGTTTTGAACATGTTCTAGTGGAGCATAGAACCATATTTCCATACTAAAACACTAACAAAGTGCTAAAAGCAGTAACTTTTATTGTTCAAGCCATTCTCTTCTCCCAGAGACTATGACAGTGCTGAGGGTGAGGGCTTCCCCTTCTCCAGCACTATTGTGAGTTAATCTACGAAAATAACAAACTTTAAGTTGTATTACAGGGCTGCTTCAAAGCTCTGTGGTGGGATTTCATTACTTGCCCTGACCAACGACTTTGACAAACCTCTGTAGTTCCCATAAGGAGACAGGATCCCTACAGAGTTTGTAAACAAATGTCATTATATATGATGACTTATCATCACCTAAATGTGCTCATTTGAGAGACTGGCTGTGAAAGTGCTATTAGGCAGAAAAGCACTCTCCAAACCTAAGGATTATGATGATGGTGACAGTGAGGGTAAAGATGATTAACACCAATCCCTTTCAATAGGGAACAGAGTGTAATTAACACCATCATAATGAGTTTCCATGCGATGGTAATCTTTTGCTGCCTTTAGTTAAAAATTGCATCCAAATTCATTTATAAAAATTGTCCAATTTAAAAAAATGATCAAAACCAAGAAAGATAATGATAAGCTTTAGGAATTGCTAAGTAACTCATTTTCTGAAATGTCCTAACTGAAGAAAACCTTTTAACTTCCTTGGTTTTCTGTCTTTTGTCCGGTGGGTTAATCAGAATTATTCAAAGTCACTTCCTTCTCTCTTCTTTCCCACCCCTAAAAACAAAGCTCCTCTCCAGCCCTGCTTAGGTTACCACCTTTCCAATACTCATACAAGGCTACAACTCTGGGTAAAATAAAAACAAAATGAGAAAATCCCTAGAGTAGTGCTGTCAATGTTTAAAATATGAAAATGATGAACTTTTCGTGGAATATCTCTGTCAGTTTCCTTTTCACATAATTTTTAAAACAAGGTATGTTTTCAAACAGACTATTTAGGGAACAAAGCGAAAATAAAAATATCTCACTTAAATCAAATCTCTTAGTGGACAGTCATTTATTCTGTATGTCAGTCCCCTTTCTGACATTCAAAAATCAAATGCCATGATAATCAATATGAAATGTTTTCCAATTGTCCCCTAATGTGCGTATTTTTGTTTCTTTAACTTAAGGCTAGTTAAAACATTCTTAAATAATATAAAGAGTTTTCATTTGACTACCATAATCAAGGAGGGGTTACTTCCATTTTGTAGATCATCTGTTTTGTTCTCAGCCATAAGTCAAATGTCCTATAATACTACAGAGTGAAGTATAAAATTTAGGAGGATCTGACTTATTCACTTAACAGATATTTGTTTAACACTCATTATGTACTAAGCATACAAATAGATGCCTTTTGGTTTGGAGTGATACAGAGAGATGATCAGCTTAATTTTTTCTCAGGTTATCAGTTCATAACCTGAGATCTATGGAAGGGTTTTCAGTGTATCCATGAGTCTCCCCAAATTATTCAAATAAATGACATATGTGGGACTTCCCTGGCAGTCCAGTGGTTAAGACTCTGTGCTTCCACTGCAGAAAGCATGGGTTTGGTCCATGGTCAGGGAAGTAAGATCTTATATGCTGCTTGGCAAGACCAAAAAGTAAATAAAAAATTTAAAAATCTGGTGGAAAAAATGAAGTGTGTATATGTGCATTTGTGCCCTTGTGCATTTTTCTGGAAGAGGGTCCATACTTTTCATCATTATCTTGAATCATTGCTAAATATGTACTTAGGCTGCAAGAATAAAGCAAAGGGGTATTTTTATAAGACATTAAAATGAAATGGTGATTGAATTTAATAAAGCCTCATCTATAGGATAGGCTGCCACAAGTTAGTGAGGTTCTAAAAATCATTCAACTTAGAATTTCTCATAGAAGTTGGAAAGAAAATCTTGTGAAGATGGTATTGTACAGCAAGGTTTGAAGACTGAGCTAAAGATGAAGACTCCATAGAGTAATTTAGAGTCCCTTTCTAAACTTTTCTTGGCACCAGAATTATACAAAAGAGAGACTCTGACAAATGCAAATGAAGACTATCAAACAGAGAAACCCATCATATTTTCTCTTTTAAACAGAAAATTCATGACTAAGATAATTATTTTACCTTGTCCTTTCCTTCCTGTTGTTTTGTCTTCCAAACAACATACTAGTGACTTTCCTTTTTTAAAGTATTTCAAAACATAATCCTGAACTGGAGCAGCCACTTTTCTGGCTTTTGTGTCTTTTGCTGATGGTTAGGTCTTAGTGAATAGGTGTTAATTACAACCCTAAGATTAGATATAATAACAGCCCTGACAGTGCCCCACCCTAAGCTTGCTTTCTATTCTTTTTAGCCCTCCAACTCACTTTTATTTCAAAAGGCAGTATGCAGATTTACTTACAAACACTTTAGAGCTAAGTATTTAAGCTCTACTCTTAATTTGGGATTGTTACCCTAGTAATGTCCTAATCAATTGGAATTGCCTCCTCCAGGCTGAGTACTCTCAATGATAAAATTTGGTCCCTTTCCACCCTCTTACTTTTGCTATTTTTAAGCAGAGAAAAAGTGCAGAACTGTGAGCAGAAGCATAATCATTATGGGCAAATGCTTTTGAATTGTCATTTCTTCCCCAGAGGGATGAAAGTGATAGAGCTGAACTTTACTAATTTTCTCTAACGAAAAGGAGTGATGAGTTGGAATAAGAATGTGATAAAAGCACAACTATAGCTGAAAACAAACATCTCCCCACCTCCCTCCTCCAGCCCCTGTCAAAGATTAAAGCAGAGTATGCAGAGTACACCCCCACCCCCACCCCACACCCCTGCACACACCCTCCTCCCAGTAGCCACCAACCAGCAGCTTGCTGGTAGGAGCGTGAGTTGGCATTAGGCTGAGATCTCTGGGCTTTCCTATGTGTCCTGAAAAGCCTGTATCCAGTCCCTGCACCTCGAAATGCCCGCCTGTACTGTTAGGAGGGCTTTAATCCCTTTAACTTTATTGATGCTGGGGCTGATATTGGTGCACACCCCCTGGAATGTTAGGGTTGAGCAGCTTATTATGTCCCAGTGGTGTGCTGTAGCTTTCCATTGGTGGAAGGAAAGTTGTACAAAGGCATTGGGTTTGAATTCAGCTGGCTCCTGCCAGCTTGGGCAAAGGAAACTGGAGCTTCTTTGAGAGTCCAGGGTGAGGAGGCCATTTTGCCATAAGGGTCTTTGTGGCTAAACTGGACTGCTTATTGCCAATCAAGCACTAAATCTAAGTTGACCATCACCAGATTTGGGGGAGAAGCCAACCTGCTCAGATAGAGAAGGCTTTGAAATGGAACAGGCGAGCAGCAATGACTGAACATAGAGAAACGTAGTCGTCCTCTCCTCATTCACCCGCTGACCTTCCCCGTGAATCTGTTTTCCTATCTGGGCAACTGTAGGCTTGGATCTTGATCTTTGTGGCTCAGTATGTCCATCGTCACCGCGGTTGCTCCTTTGACTGATCAGAAAATGATGCAAAAGTCCTCTACTGTCAGCTTAGTTCCAAGCACTACACTCTGTTTTTGAGCAGAGGCACAAACGAGGGAGGTCACTTGTGGTCTGGGGTCCTGGGCAGTAAGCCACGTAGTGGTCTCCTTAGCTAAGCTGTTCGGAGAGAAGTCTGAGAAGTAGGAGGACCAGAAGGCCAAGAGAAGTAGAGAAGAAGCAAAGGGAGGTAAAGGATCAGAGCATTGGTATCGGTTACTCACCAGTCACCTGCACTGTCTTGCGCATCCATGCATAGGGGCTGTGACGGCTTCTGCTAGAACTCTCACCTGCGATGCCGGCGTCGATGGGGAACAGTGATCCTCCGGCTGGTGTTGGCAGGCTGCTACCGCTGTTTCCACCCCCTGCGGGGCCCAGGTTGCTATATTCCGGTGAGCTGAAAGCGGCGGGGCTCGAGGTCATGTCGTTCATGGGGACCGTACCCATAGTACTGGATGGCCCGGGATACACGCTCCAGTCTTCACGAGGGGGACTATAGGGTGACCCCCAGGCTCCCAGCGGTGGCCCGTGAGGATCCATACCGGGCATATGGGGATATCTCATGTAGTGCGCATAAGAAGGGGCCGCTGCGAAGTTGGAGGCTGGCAGAAGACTCCCACCATCCCCAGTGGCACCAGCCCCGGCGGTGCCACCTCCTGCGGGGCTCCTGAGAGTGCTGGAGTACATGTCCGCTTCTTTTTCCAAAAGGCAGCTTCTGTACATAGTGGCTTGGATATGAGAAAGGAGCTCCCTAAGGCATCCTGAAGTCCCTATAAGATCCTGCAGTAGGGAACCAGAAGTTTAGCTGCGCTGCACGCCCCTCCGACTACTCCATAGGCATTTCCTACCCTGACGGTTTCCAGGTGACTGGTAGCCCTGTATAGACGGGCTCCCAATTGCTGGGCTGACGTCAAGGGGCTTTAGGCTTTTACATAACATTTGCATTCAAATGAACGGCCATTTCACTTTCACAAGGACTTGTTCACTCTACATCCTCTCCAAGAGATCCTATGCCTTTCAATCTCATCTTTCTTGCTTTTGTCCACCTGATCCCATAGCACTAACTTTGCACTTTTGGAAGCAGGAGATCCCCCAGAGGTTTATGACCAGTCCCCCGCAAAGTGAGATAGAGAGGTGTAGAATCAGGGCAAAATCCTGTTATTTGGTCCTTACCCTGTGGCTTCTTCCCTTTATGCTGATCTTCTGCACCTAGTCTGCATTCTTGGTATCTTCTCTGCCCACAGTTCCTGGCACAGGCACTCCACATGGCACTGGCCCATGATAGTACTAAAAAGGGCTCTCCCTTCTCTTCATTGCCCACTCCCCAATAGGAGGAGAGCTTTGTTTCTGAGGACAGAAATTCATTTCACAACTATATATTGTGTGCCTACTATGTGCTAAGCTGCTGTAGACTCAGGGGATAGAGCAGTGAACAAGACAAACATTCCTGCTCTGCCTTCCTGAGGTTATATTCCAGTAGGTAACAGGCTGGATTAATTGAATGTTTTACAAATGTGTACAAATTAAAGAAAGATAAAGAGAGAGCGTTATGAAAAAAGAAAGGAAAGAAGGAGAAGACTCTTGTGGATAGTGAGTGGGCTTTCTTATTTTCCTGTTAGTTCACTAGTCTTGCTTGGGTGTCTCTTTCTGCCAGTACTCACAAAGAGCCAAATTCCTGCAGGCTCAAACTCAGAGCAGCTGAAGCTCCCAACTTGCTTTCACACTTGCAATTTCCTTTGTAAAGTTAAAATTGTTGAAAAAGACATGGAGTTGCCAGTAAATGCCAGTGAACTCAAGATTTTACTTCAAGAAATCAGAGCACCTCTTGATGACAAAGCCAGTTTATATTCCAGTATTCCTTTTCCCTCCACGACTGAAGTGACTTATCATGCACGCACATTCCTTCTCCCTCACTCCTGCCCCCTCCCAAAGCCTACCACAACCTTTAATTCAAGATGTGTTCCTATTCAGAGAATATGCTTCTCCATAAAGTCCAACACAACCTGGCACCTTCATTAACTAATCCCTCTTTGGCTTCAGAAATACCATATTACTTCTGGGAGTTTCAGGGTTTCCCCTTATATAATAGGGATACAAACAGTGTCTGTATTTTGAAGGCAGGATTTCCCGAGATGATGTATGCAAACTGTTTAACAACACTTGGTACACAGCACAGGACCACTGTATTCATTAATTTACTCAATATTTATTGAGTGCTAGGTGCTATTCTATGTATGGAGACATCAATAGTGAACAAAGCCCTTGTTAAGCTTATATTCTCAAGGGGAGATATACTAATAAGTAATTAAATTTTATGGTATGTCAGATATTAATAATCAACATTGTAAAGAAAAAGAAAGCAGCAAAGGAAATAAGGAATGTTAGAGGATGTTTCAATTTAAAATATGGTGGTCTGGGAGGACCTTACTTAGAAATAATATTTAAGTAAAATATAGAAAAAGTGATGGATTGAGCTATGAAGCGAGGATCCAGACAGAGGGAACAGCAAGTAAAAAGAAAAGCCTGTCTTTTATTGGAGAAATAGCAAGAAGGAAAGTGTGGCTAACAGGTAGATGAGGTCCAAACATTAATAGGGTGGGTCATTTTTAATTCCTAAGCTTTTACTCTAAGTGAGATAGGAAGACATTGTAGGGTTTTGAACAGATAAGTGACATGATTTAAGTTTTGAAAAGATTGCTTTGGTCATGGGATTAAGAATAGACTGTAAGTGGGCAAAATAAAATCAGGCTGGTTAAGTAAAAGGCTATTGCAATAATCCAGGTGAATGGCATCGGGGATGGAGAGGAGTGGTTGAATTCTGGATATATTTAGAAGCCTGCATTGGAAAATGAGAAGGAAGAGAAGGAACAAAAGTAATTGGTCAGCAAAGACTAATTAAAACCCGGCACTGGCGAGAAGGGACTAAGGAGCAGGAAAATCACATATTTATAGGCACTTTGTGTACATGACCTCATTCAATCTTCGCAGTTTTACTTACTATCACTCCCATTTTAGAGACAAAGAAATCAAGGCTCAGGGAGGTGGCATGACTATTTAAACGAACTACTGGTATGTAGTAGAGCTAGGTTCCCATTCTAGGTAGCTCAGATTGCAAAGTTCATGTTCTTAAGTTGGAACCAGGCAAAATGTACAACCTCAGGGCTTAGGCCTGGGACTTGGCTTCTATTTCCTTTCTCTGCTCAGGCTCCCAGGCCCTACATTCAATCCTTTTCACAACATAGACCCAATACCCTTGCATTATTCTCTTTCATCTATTCTATCTTGAGGCAGACTGGTCTATCTGACATTTGAAAAGCTATATCAGTATGGAAGCATATTCAGGACCTTAAAGACTAAGCTAACTAAATATTGTCATTTTATCTATGAGGAAACAGAGGGTCTGAGTGGGGAAGGTAGTCTTTAAGGCAGTGAATGACAGAACTCAGATTCTAACTCAGGTCTGTTGACTCCCAGACCAACAGTCTTTCACTTAAAAAAATGTATGTTTGCTTATGCCTAGACAGTTTTTATGCATAAAAATTGTTTCAATTCTCCCTAAAGATTCAGCTTAAATGTCACCTCCTCCCAAAAGTCTTATGTTATGATACTCCTCTCAGAGAGTGTACTTCCTCTTGCCTGAATCGCCTTATCAACTCCCCCACTGACTAATACTATTCTTGTCCATCTTAGTATTATTTGGGGTCTTATCTGAATATTTTGGAATTTGAACACATTGAAAAGGTGTCAGGGGGCATGTTTGAGCCCTGCAGAATGGAGTGTCATACACATGATAGGATCTCAAGAAACATTTGTATGCTGAATCAATAAGTGACCTTGGAAATGTAGATTTTAAGTCACCATTTTGACTCAACTCTAGGGATGTCTTGAAGAGAAACCAGTAAGTTGTCCAGTGCTTAGTGGAACTTGGCTTCAAGATTAGTTTTGTGTTTTTGTTTGTTTCTGGAAATGGGAGTAGAATGTGGGGGCAGGAGGTGGGAGAGAGAGGCGGAGTGGCAGGAAGGTTCAATCTAGTTTATTTGACTGGAAATTCTGATTTCTTTTTTTTTTAACCTGGAAATTAATCAGAGAGGGAACCTCACTGCAGAAAGCAGAGTTGTTGTTGTTCAGTCACCAAGTCATGTCCGACTCTGCAACCCCATGGACTGTAGCACTCCAGGAAGCAGAGTGGCCAGCAGCAAAAGTCAAAACCCACAGGCTGAGGATCAGGGCTCAGGCTATACAAGGATTATCAAAGCAGTTTGGACATCCCTGACTGTTGTCTCTCAATCCAAGCTTTGCACTTTGGGCTCTGTAAACAACATCCTTCCACCTACCAATTCTTACCTACCTCCCTGAGCTACTTGGAAACTTAGTGATGTGTCTTGGGACAAGAAAGAAGACTTGTCGCCTTTTCATCCATCTTTGACACTGTGATGGGCCTTTGTAATTGCAAGGACAGACACCCTCGAGAATGAGCACTACTAGGCTCTGCTGTTGTTTAGTTGCTAAGTCATGTCCGACTCTTTTGCGACCCCATGGACTGTATAGCCCACCAGGCTCTACTGTCCAGGGGTTTTCCAGGCAAGGATATGGGAGTGGGTTGCCATTTCCTACTCCAGGGGATCTTCCTGACCCAGGGATTGAACCTGCATCTCCTGCATTGCAGGTTAATTCTTTACCACTAAGCCACCAGGGCTCTGGCCTACTCCAAAGTATTGCAGTAGGGGCAGGACCAAGGAGTGTCTGGAGAAAGATTAATATTCTTTGACAGGAGTGTGAATAGTCAGGGCAAGTACTCCTTGGAGTGGTGGAGGGCCAGGGATCTGTAACCACCCTACCCCCAGGTCAAATTACCCAGATCTGGGTTAGGAGAACAAAAAGAATGAGGGAAGTCTGGGCTTTGAGATCGAGGCAAAAAGACAACATAGTGGAAAAATAGGCTTCTTGGCCATCAAAAGGCATCATCAACTCTAGAAGAGAGAAGATATGTATAAAGAAGCAAGCAAGGGCTATTGCTTAATGCCAAGACCCCAAACTTAAGAAGGTTAGGTCAAGAAACTATAAAACTCCTAGAGGAGAACATAGGCAAAACACTCTCCGACATAAATCACAGCAGGATCTTCTATGACCCACATCCCAGCATATTAGAAACAAAAGCAAAAATAAACAAATGGGACCTAATGAAACTTAAAAGCTTTTGCACAACAAAGGAAACTATAAGCAAGGTGAAAAGACAGCACTCAGATTGGGAGAAAATAATAGCAAATGAAGCAACAGACAAAGGATTAATCTCAAAAATATACAAGCAACTCCTCCAGCTCAACTCCAGAAAAATAAATGACCCAATCAAAAAATGGGCCACATCAGCAGATGAATGGATGAGGAAGCTGTGGTACATATACACCATGGAATATTACTCAGCCATTAAAAAGAATTCATTTGAATCAGTTCTAATGAGATGGATGAAACTGGAGCCCATTATACAGAGCGAAGTAAGCCAGAAAGATAAAGACCATTACAGTATACTAACACATATATATGGAATTTAGAAAGATGGTAACGATAACCCTATGTGCAAAACAGAAAAAGAGACTCCTATGTATAGAACAGACTTGTGGACTCTGGGAGAAGGTGAGGGTGGGATGTTTCAAGAGAACAGCATTGAAACACGTATATTATCTAGGGTGAAACAGTTCACCAGCCCAGGTTGGGTGCATGAGACA